CCTCATCACACCCTGACCCCTGACCTCTGACCCTGACCCCTGACCGTGACTCCTGACCGTGACTCTGACCCTGACCCCTGACCGTGACCCCTGATCCTGACCGTGACCCCTGATCCCGACCTTGACCCCTGACCGTGACCCCTGATCCCTGACCCCTGACCGTGACCCCTGATCCCTGACCCCTGACCGTGACCCCTGACTGTGACCGTGACCCCTGACCGTGACCCCTGACCCCTGATCCCTGACCTCTGACTGTGACCCCTGACTGTGACCATGACCCCTGATCCCTGACCTCTGACTGTGACCCCTGACTTTGACCATGACCCGTGACCCCTGACCATGACCCCTGATTCCTGACCCCTGATGTGACCTTTGCCCTCCGTGCTGTGTGTGTCCAGGTGGTGGCGCTGTACAACGGGAGCCTCAAACAGCTGGTCCCGCAGAGGGGGCGGAGCTTCCAGTGGCCAGGTGGAGCCCCGCCCCCCGACACACCTGAGTGCGGCTTCAAGAACGACAAACCCGAATGTCTCGCACGTAAGACCCCAGACCTGGTTTAGTCCCGGTTTAGTCCCGGTTCAGTCCCGGTTCAGCCCTGGTTTAGTCCTGGTTCAGTCCAGGTTTAGTCCAGGTTTAGTCCAGGTTTAGTCCAGGTTCAGTCCTGATCTGTTTGTGTTTCAGGGACGGTGTCGATGCAGCAGTTTGTTTCCATTGTTTTCTGCTTCGCCTTCACCATCGTCGTCACCATCACAGTCTTCATCTACAGGTCTGACCCAGAACTAAACCAGGACTGACCCAGAACTAAACCAGGACTGACCCAGAACTAAACCAGGACTGACCCAGAACTAAACCAGGACTGAACCAGAACTAAACCAGGACTGAACCAGAACTAAACCAGAACTAAACCAGGACTGAACCAGAAACCAGAACTAAACCAGGACTGACCCAGAACTAAACCAGGACTGACCCAGAACTAAACCAGGACTGAACCAGAACTAAACCAGGACTGAACCAGAACTAAACCAGAACTAAACCAGGACTGAACCAGAACTAAGAACTAAACCAGGACTGACCCAGAACTAAACCAGGACTGACCCAGAACTAAACCAGGACTGAACCAGAACTAAACCAGGACTGACCCAGAAACTAAACCAGGACTGACCCAGAACTAAACCAGACTGACCAGACTAAACCAGACTGACCAGAACTAAACCAGGACTGACCAGAACTAAACCAGGACTGAACCAGAACTAAACCAGACACCTGAACCAGAACTAAACCAGAAGACTAAACCCAGACTGAACCAGGACTGAACCAGAACTAAACCAGGACTGACCCAGAACTAAACCAGGACTGACCCAGAACTAAACCAGGACTGACCCAGAACTAAACCAGGACTGAACCAGAACTAAACCAGGACTGAACCAGAACTAAACCAGAACTAAACCAGGACTGAACCAGGTCTGACCCAGAACTAAACCAGGACTGACCCAGAACTAAACCAGGACTGACCCAGAACTAAACCAGGACTGACCCAGAACTAAACCAGGACTGAACCAGAACTAAACCAGGACTGACCCAGAACTAAACCAGAACTGACCCAGAACTAAACCAGGACTGACCCAGAACTAAACCAGGACTGAACCAGAACTAAACCAGGACTGAACCAGAACTAAACCAGAACTAAACCAGGACTGAACCAGGACTGAACCAGAACTAAACCAGGACTGACCCAGAACTAAACCAGGACTGACCCAGAACTAAACCAGGACTGAACCAGAACTAAACCAGGACTGAACCAGAACTAAACCAGAACTAAACCAGGACTGAACCAGGTCTGACCCAGAACTAAACCAGGACTGACCCAGAACTAAACCAGGACTGACCCAGAACTAAACCAGGACTGACCCAGAACTAAACCTGGACTGAACCAGAACTAAACCAGGACTGACCCAGAACTAAACCAGGACTGACCCAGAACTAAACCAGAACTGACCCAGAACTAAACCTGGACTGAACCAGAACTAAACCAGGACTGAACCAGAACTAAACCAGAACTAAACCAGGACTGAACCAGGACTGAACCAGGACTAAACCAGGACTAAACCAGGACTAAACCAGGACTAAATCACACATATATATCAGTTGAAGCTCAAAGTCCTTCTCTGTGATTGGCTGTGGTTGTGTTCCTCCTCTGTGATTGGCTGTGGTTGTGTTCCTCCTCTGTGATTGGCTGTGGTTGTGTTCCTCCTCCTCTGTGATTGGCTGTGGAACAGGAAGTTACGTCTGGAGAGTGAGCTGGCGGCTCAGTTGTGGAGAGTGAACTGGGAGGATGTTGATCTCGGTCGTGGTGACAGAGGCCTGAGGCGAGCGGCGAGCAGACTCACCGTCTCCATGGTAACCGCCAAAACAACACCACTGCATCACCTTTTATTTATATATATATATATATATATATATATGTATATATATATATATATATATATATATATATATATATATATATATTATATATATATATATATATATATATATATATATATAATAATATATACATATATATATATATATATATATATATATATATATATATATATATATATATATATATATATGTATAATATATATATATATATATATATATATATATATATATATATGTATATATGAGAGAAGACCACAGCAACCTCCCTGAACAGAATCCAGTCACCATCACAGTGGCAGACATCCAGGGAAGAGTCTCAGGTATGAAAAACTGGACCGCACCGGGCCCGGACATGATCCATGCGTACTGGCTAAAGAAGCTCCCTGCCCTCCACGAGCGCCTGGCAGCACAAATGAACCAGCTGCTAAGGGATGGGACTCACCCTGAATGGTTAACCCAAGGGCGTACGATCCTGATCCTAAAGGATCCCTCAAAGGGTGCAGTCCCATCCAACTATCGGCCAATAACCTGTCTCTCCACAACATGGAAGCTCATGTCAGGCATCATTGCGGCTAAGATAAGTGGGCACATGAATCAATACATGAGTGCAGCACAGAAGGGTATCGGCAAAAACACCAGGGAGCCAAACACCAACTCCTGGTTGACCGAACAGTCGCCCGCGACTGCAGAACCCGTAAGACCAACCTGTGCACTGCCTGGATTGATTACAAGAAAGCCTACGACTCAATGCCACACACATGGATCACTGAGTGCTTGAAGCTGTACAATATCAACAGGACTCTAAGGGCGTTCATTGCGAACTCGATGCGGTTGTGGAAAACCACCCTTGAAGCCAAGGGGAAGCCACTTGCACATGTGTCCATCAAATGTGGCATATACCAAGGAGACTCACTGTCCCCACTACTGTTCTGCTGCATAGGCCTGAACCCCCCTCAGCCAAATAATCGACCGCACTGGCTATGGATACCGACTCAGAAACGGGGCCACCATCAGTCACCTCCTCTACATGGATGACATCAAGCTGTACGCTAAGAGTGAGCGAGACATCGACTCACTGATCCACACCACAAGGATCTACAGTACAGACATTGGGATGTCATTCGGGCTTGAGAAATGTAGCAGGATGGTGACAAAGAGAGGGAAGGTAGAACACACAGAGGGGGTGTCACTCCCAGAGGGAACAATAGCAGACGTTGAGGACAGTTACAAGTACCTTGGTATCCCTATCCCACAAGCAAATGGCAACCTCGAAGAGGCAACAAGGAAAGCGGCTACGGCCAAATACCTGCAAAGAGTGAGGCAAGTCCTTAGAAGCCAGCTCAATAGCAAGAACAAGGTGCAGGCAATCAACAGCTACGCCCTGCCAGTGATCAGATACCCTGCAGGGATTGTAAGCTGGCCAAAGGAGGAGATACAGACCACAGATGTTAAGACACGAAAGCTCCTGACCATGCATGGAGGGTTCCATCCCAAAATCCAGCACCCTGAGACTGTACGCAGGCCGGAAGGAAGGGGGCCGAGGACTAGTGAGTGTGGGAACCACTGTCCAGGATGAAACATCCAAGCTCCTTGAGTACATCAAGGACAAGGCCCCGGCAGATGAGGTGCTCAGAGAATGTCTCAGACAGTGGGGTCCAGAGGAAGAGGTGCTGGAGGGACCATCATGGCAGGACAAACCCCTACATGGGGCGTACCACCGGAACATAACTGAAGTGGCTGATATCAAGAAATCCTACCAATGGCTTGAGAGGGTCTGAAGGACACACAGAGGCACTGATCCTGGCTGCTCAGGAGCAGGACCTGGGCACTCGAGCAATAGAGGCCCAGATCTACCACACCAGACAAGACCCACGGTGTAGACTGTGCAAAGAGGCTCCTGAGACAGTCCAGCACATAACTGCAGGTGTAAGATGCTGGCAGGGAAAGCAAACATGGAGCGACATAACCAAGTGGCGGGCAGAGTCACAGAAACATCTGTGTACAGAAACATCTGTGCAGAGTACAGGCTGGAAACCCCAGGATCAAGGTGGGAAACACCTCCAAAGGTTGTGGAGAATGACCGAGCCAAGATCCTGTGGGACTTCAGATACAGACTGACAGGATGGTGATGGCGAACCAACCAGACATAGTGGAGGTGGATAAGAAACAGAGCAGAGCCGTGGTGGTTGACATCACAATACCAAGCGATGGTAATATCAGGAAAAAGGAACACGAGAAGCTAGAGAAATACCAGGGGCTCAAGGAGGAGCTGGAGAGAGTCTGGAAAGTAAAGGCATCAGTGGAGCCTGTGGTGATCGGACACTCGGGGCTGTAACCCCCAAACTGGAAGAGGCTTCAACAGATACCGGGAAAAACAACAGACATCTCAGTCCAGAAAAGTGCAGCACTGGGAACAGCAAAGATACTGCGCAGAACTGTCAAGCTCCCAGGTCTCTGGTAGACGACCCGAGCTCAATGAGGGTGAGAGACCAACCACCGTGGAAGGTGAGAAACACATTTTTATATATATATATATATACATATATATATATATATATATATATATATATATATATATATATATATATATGTATATATATATATATATATATATATATATATATATATATATATATATATATATATATATATATAATATATATATATATATATATATATATATATATATATATATATATATACATATACACACATATATATATGTATACATATATATATATATATATATATATATATATATATATATATATATATACTACTACTACTACACTGTATATACAATTACACAACTAAACCAGGACTTAACTAGTTTGTAGTTGTAGTAAAAGTACACAGCTGTAGTAAAAGTACACGTGTCTAGTAAGAGTACATATGTGCATAGTAGTAAAAGTACACAGTTGTAGTAAAAGTACATGTGTGTTTCAGAGGGGGTCACACTGTGGCTCTTTCATCTCTGTGGAAGGAAACGTGCAAATCTACACCAAGACCGGATACTACAAGGTACTACAAACTACTACACACTATTACTACATACTACTACTACATACTACTACATACTACTACTACATACTACTACACAATACTACACACTACTACATACTACTACACACTACTACACACTATTACTACATACTACTACTACATACTACTACATACTACTACTACATACTACTACATACTACTGCTACATACTACTACATACTACTACACACTACTACTACACACTACTACACACTACTACACACTACTACATACTACTACACACTACTACATACTACTACTACACACTACTACACACTACTACAAACTACTACATACTACTACACACTACTACTACACACTACTACATACTACTGCTACATACTACTACATACTACTACACACTACTACACACTACTACACACTACTACACACTACTACATACTACTACATACTACTACACACTACTACACACTACTACACACTACTACATACTACTACTACATACTACTGCACACTACTACATACTACTACTACACACTACTACACATTACTACACACTATTACTACATACTACTACTACATACTACTACATACTACTACTACTACTACTACTACTACTACACACTACTACATACTACTACACACTACTACACACTACTACATACTACTACTACACACTACTACATACTACTACTACACACTACTACACATTACTACACACTATTACTACATACTACTACTACATACTACTACACACTACTACACACTACTACATACTACTACACACTACTACATACTACTACACACTACTACACACTACTACTACATACTACTGCACACTACTACATACTACAACATACTACTACATACTACTACACACTACTACACACTACTACACACTACTACTACACACTACTACACACTACTACTACACACTACTACACACTACTACTACATACTACTACACACTACTACTACTACACACTACTACACACTAGTACACACTACTACACACTACAAGGTAGTACAGAGTAGTAGAGAGTAGTACATGGTAGTAGAAAGTAGTACATGGTAGTAGAGAGTAGTACATGGTAGTAGAGAGTAGTACATGGTAGTAGAGAGTAGTACATGGTAGTACAGAGTAGTACATGGTAGTAGAGAGTAGTACATGGTAGTACAGAGTAGTACAGAGTAGTACATGGTAGTACAGAGTAGTACATGGTAGTACAGAGTAGTACAGAGTAGTACATGGTAGTACAGAGTAGTACATGAGTAGTACAGAGTAGTACAGAGTAGTACAGAGTACAGAGTAGTACAGAGTAGTACAGAGTAGTACATGGTAGTACAGAGTAGTACATGGTAGTACAGAGTAGTAGAGAGTAGTACAGAGTAGTACATGGTAGTAGAGAGTAGCACATAGTAGTACAGCGTAGTACATGGTAGTAGAGAGTAGTAGAGAGTAGTACAGAGTAGTACATGGTAGTACATGGTAGTAGAGAGTAGTAGAGAGTAGTACATGGTAGTACAGAGTAGTACATGGTAGTAGAGAGTAGTACATGGTAGTACATGGTAGTAGTAGAGAGTAGTAGAGTAGTACAGAGTAGTAGTACATGGTAGTAGAGAGTAGTAGAGAGTAGGTAGTACATGGTAGTACATGGTAGTAGAGAGTAGTACATGGTAGTACATGGTAGTACATGGTAGTAGAGAGTAGTACAGAGTAGTACAGAGTAGTACAGAGTAGTACATGGTAGTACATTGTAGTACAGAGTAGTACATGGTAGTACATGGTAGTACAGAGTAGTACATGGTAGTACATGGTAGTACAGAGTAGTACAGAGTAGTACATGGTAGTAGAGAGTAGTACATGGTAGTACATGAGTAGTAGTAGTACATGAGTAGTACAGAGTAGTACATGGTAGTACAGAGTAGTACAGAGTAGTACAGAGTAGTACATGGTAGTAGAGAGTAGTACATGGTAGTACATGGTAGTACATGGTAGTACAGAGTAGTACATGGTAGTACAGAGTAGTACAGAGTAGTACATGGTAGTACATGTAGTACAGAGTAGTACATGGTAGTAGAGGGTAGCACATGGTAGTACAGAGTATTACAGAGTAGTACATGGTAGTACAGAGTAGTACATGGTAGTACAGAGTAGTAGAGAGTAGTACAGAGTAGTACATGGTAGTAGAGAGTAGTAGAGAGTAGTACAGAGTAGTACATGGTAGTACATGGTAGTAGAGAGTAGTAGAGAGTAGTACATGGTAGTACAGAGTAGTACATGGTAGTAGAGAGTAGTACATGGTAGTACATGGTAGTAGAGAGTAGTACATGGTAGTAGAGAGTAGTAGTAGTACATGGTAGTACATGGTAGTAGAGAGTAGTACATGGTAGTACATGGTAGTAGAGAGTAGTACATGGTAGTACAGAGTAGTACATGGTAGTAGAGAGTAGTACAGAGTAGTACATGGTAGTACAGAGTAGTACAGAGTAGTACATGGTAGTACAGAGTAGTAGTACATAGTACAGTAGTACAGTGAGTAGTACATGGTAGGTAGTACATGGTAGTAGAGAGTAGTACAGAGTACAGTAGTTACATGTAAGTACAGGTAGTAGTAGTACATGGTAGTACATAGTAGTAGTAGTACATGGTAGTACAGAGTAGTACATGGTAGTACAGAGTAGTAGTAGTAGAGAGTAGTACATGAGTACATGGTAGTACAGGTAGTAGTACCATGGTAGTAGAGAGTAGTAGTACATGGTAGTACAGTAGTACAGAGTAGTAGTACAGTAGTACAGGAGTAGTACATGGTAGTAGAGAGTAGTACATGGTAGTACATAGTAGAGTAGTACAGAGTAGTACATGTAGTACAGAGTAGTACATGGTAGTACATGGTAGTACAGAGTAGTACAGAGTAGTACAGGTAGTACATGTACATGTAGTAAGTAGTAGTCAGAGTAGTAGTACATGGTAGTACAGAGTAGTACAGAGTAGTACAGAGTAGTACAGTAGTACAGTAGTAGGTAGTACAGAGTAGTAGAGTACAGGTAGTAGTAGTACATGGTAGTAGTAGTACATGGTAGTACAGGTAGTATACATGGTAGTACAGAGTAGTAGAGTAGTACATGGTAGTAGTACATGGTAGTAGAGTAGTACATGGGTAGTACGATAGTAGCATGGTAGTACATGTAGTTAGTAGAGTTACATACATAGTAGTAGAGTAGTACATGGTAGTACATGGTAGTAGTAGTACATGTAGTAGTACAGAGTAGTACAGAGTAGTACATGGTAGTACATGAGTAGTACATGGTAGTACAGAGTACAGAGTAGTACATGGTAGTAGTACAGAGTAGAGTAGTACAGAGTAGTACATGGAGTACAGAGTAGTACAGAGTAGTACAGGTAGTACATGTAGTACATGTAGTACAGAGTAGGTAGTAGTACAGAGTAGTACATGAGTACAGTAGTTACAGGTACAGGTAGTACAGAGTAGTACAGGTAGTAGTAGTACATGGTAGTACATGGTAGTAGAGAGTAGTACATGGTAGTAGAGAGTAGTACAGTATACATGAGTAAGTACATGTACATGAGTAGTACAGAGTAGTACAGAGTAGCACATGGTAGTACAGAGTAGTACAGAGTAGTACATGGTAGTACAGAGTAGTACATGGTAGTAGAGAGTAGTACATGGTAGTACAGAGTAGTACATGGTAGTACAGAGTAGTACATAGGTAGTACATGGTAGTAGAGAGTAGTACAGAGTAGTACATGGTAGTACATGGTAGTACAGAGTAGTACATGGTAGTACAGAGTAGTACATGGTAGTACAGAGTAGTACATGGTAGTAGTACAGAGTAGTACATGGTAGTACAGAGTAGTACAGAGTAGTACATGGTAGTACATGGTAGTACAGAGTAGTACAGAGTAGTACAGGTAGTAGAGTAGTAGTAGTAGAAGTGTACAGAGTAGTACAGAGTAGTACATGGTAGTACATGCATGGTAGTAACATGAGTAGTAGTACAGTAGTACAGAGTAGTACAGAGTAGTACAGAGTACTAATGGTAGTACAGAGTAGTACAGAGTAGTACATGGTAGTACAGAGTAGTAGTACATGGTAGTACAGGTAGTACAGAGTAGTACATGGTAG